CTCCTTGGGAGCCTGCTTCTCCCTCTGCCTCTCTCTGTCTGTCTCTCATGAATAAATAAATAAAAATCTTAAAAAAAAAAAAAGTTTTGACTGTGTGGTGATACAGGAACATCCTAGATTGTGGGAAAAGTGTAAATAAAAACAAAGACCAGGGAAAACACAGAGTTTGTACAGGGGAGCCATGATAGTTTTAGTGTGACTGCAAATTAGTTTGGAGAGAGAGGTCTAGAATGCTAGGTCTAGACTGGGAGGTCTAGAATGGGAGGCAGAGTCTAGAAGCTTTATTTCTGTATATAACATATTCTTTTAAAAGCTGCCAGAGTGACAGTACGTAACAGCATCAGACACACTAACACCACCTAATATCTGATTGCTTCCTAAACACTTGGCATCATTCTAAGCACTTTACATGTATTAACTCATTTAATAGTAATTCCAACATTGTCAGGGCAGTTCTACATATATCATCCCCATTTTACAGATACGGCAGAGAAGTTAAGAAATTTGTTGTAAACCACCCTTCTCACAAAAAGCCTGGCCACACCTACACATTCTAAAGCTGGAAGTATCTTCTTTGCTATCCCTGAACTATTTTTAAAAGCTATCATTCTTTTTTTTTTTTTTTAAGATTTTATTTATTTATTTGACAGAGAGACACACAGTGAGAGAGGGAACACAAGTAGGGGGAGTGGGAGAGGGAGAAGCAGGCTTCCCGCTGAGCAGAGAGCCCGATGCGGGGCTCGATCCCAGGACTCTGGGATCATGACCTGAGCCGAAGGCAGACACTTAATGACTGAGCCACCCAGGCGCCCCTAAAAGCTATCATTCTAATTGGGGCCCAGAGAAGACCTAAATCCTGTAAGTAGCTCCAATCTTACTCAATCTTTGAAAAGTAAAAGGTATCAAAGTTAAGGGATTAATAAAAGGAAAGCAATGGAAACATACAAATAACCACATTCTCACTGCAAACAAAAAATGCTGAAAATGTTATAATGCATAAATGTTTCTGAATGTATTAATTACTTTTTCCTCAATCTGTAAACAGATTGTTTTGTAACTCAAAGCCAGCACTATGATGGGAAAAATTTTTAAATGCTTATTTAAATGAGATCAAAGACAATTTTGATATATGTAACAAAGTGGCTCAAATTTCATAAGCTCATATCCCAAATGGGTTAAGTTTTATAAAAATGGATTAAAAAGGCAAACCAAAAAGAAAAAGGGAAAAAAATTAATATTGATTGATAAACTGATATTTAAAAAGCTTGTTTTTTCTAAAACAAAATCATAACTCTTCCCTTGCTAAAGAGCAGAAAACATAAGATTTTCTAAAGCCCTAAGAAAAAAGGGACCGAGAGAGTTAACTAGTAAAAGTAAGCTCTTCTTCTTGAAGAATACTCAAAAATTAGCCTAATCCATGTTTTCTTTTTTAAGATTTTATTTATTTATTTATTTATTTATTTAACAGAGAGAGAGACAGCGAGAGAGGGAACACAAGCAGGGGGAGTGGGAGAGGGAGAAGCAGGCTTCCCCGCAAAGCAGGGAGCCTGATGTGGGGCTCGATCCCAAGACCCTGGGATCATGACCTGAGCCGAAGGCAGACGCTTAACGACTGAGCCACCCAGGCGCCCCATCCATGTTTTATTTCTAATTGGTTTTTTTTTTTAATATTTCTAATTGTTCAAGCCCTTCCTTATCAGTATAAGTGATAAAATAAAAGTGGTTTCCAAAAACAAGACAATTAACATTTTTACTTAGATTTTAGATATTTAAAGACTCTTAGCTAAACATTCATGTTCCACACACATCTGTTACCTCTCTGTATTTTGTTAAAATTAAAAGAAAACACACAAAATTTAGTCCACTGGGAAAAAGAGGGGAAGATATTTCACCCCACATATCTGAACACTTTAAAAGCATACATATATTTTGTAAGATGTTATCTTAAAACTGTATTTTTTTAAATAACGAAGAACTGACCTCTCCCCTTTAGTCTGAGAATCATCTGGCTTCCCTGCACTTATTTTACTTACTAATCCACTTTAACTTTTCAATTTAAGTTGTACTTTATTTATTTATTTTTTTGTTTATTTATTAAGTAATCTCTAAACCCAACGTGGGGCTCAAACTCACCATCCTGAGATCAAGAGTCGCATGCTCTTCTGACTGAGGCAGCCAGGTTGTACTCTAAAGATCAGAAATAAGAAAGCCTTGATAAAAACACTAAAATCTAATGGAAGGATGGAATTAGAATTCAAAATACAAGGGCGCCTGGGTGGCTCAGTTGGTTAAGCAACTGCCTTCGGCTCAGGTCATGATCCTGAAGTCCCGGGATCGAGTCCTGCATCGGGCTCCCTGCTCGGCAGGGAGTCTGCTTCTCCCTGTGACCTTCCCCCCTCTCATGTGCTCTCTCTCTCTCTCTCACTCTCTCAAATAAATGAATAAATAAAATCTTAAAAAAAAAAAAGAATTCAAAATACAGAAAACAATGTAAGGTAGAGCATTTGCCTTGTCCCAGTTAGGGACCTCAAAGGCACTTTGATAAAGAATAAATGCTTACCAGACATTTCAAGCTCTAACTAGCATGTTTAAAACTGATTTCATTTTCCTTACTAATCAGTGGCCTTTCCTGACCTTCCAAATTTGTTAAAGGTATGAACTATTCCCCCCTCTTTAAAATCTAGAGTGTTTTGTTTTCTTCTTTACCTCTGTAATCAAGTAGAGATCACATGCTGCCAACTCTTTTTCTCCCTCCCCCCCATCCCCACAATCTCTTGCTCACCTATTCCTTCCTCTTTCTCCAGGTCCTACTTTAGTTTCAAGCATGCTGATGCACTGCAACAGTATCTTTATTTATTTATCTTTTTAAGATTTAGAGAGAGGGCACTAGAGCAGGAGGGGGGGGGGGAGAGAAACCCAAGCAGACTCCACACAGAGCCCACCGCAGGGCTCAGAACACTCAGCAGGGCTCAGAACACTTAACGGAATACTTAATCAACTGCAGTGCCCCCACTGCAACAGTATCCTAACTGTCTCTCTACCTCTAATTCCTGTGTCATTTCTTCAGTCACACTGGACACTGTTTCCAAATGATTTTCCAATAATACATCTTGGGTACACTGTACCTCTCTGTGTCTATTCAAAAACCCTCAAGAAAAATAACTAAAATTAAAAAGGAAGACTGTATGGAAACATATCTGCAGCAAATTACTACTAAATATATAACAAACTCAAAGAATTAAGAAATAAAATATCAAGACTGCTACATAAATGGATAGAGATCTTGAAGACAGAACTTGTCTATTACTATGAATCAGTAAGTGAAATTACAGAAAAAGGTCCCACTTCACTAGTTAACAACAAAAATACTACAAAGAAAAGGAGAGCTCAACATATTATGCACCTATTAAATTAGCAAAAATGATTATAATTATAGGCTACCCAATGCTTACAGCTAAACTTAGGGAGTGACAATTAATCCTAAAAGAACGGTCCAAAAGACAGAAGATACTGTATGCACACAGATGATAATTATAACACAATACTGAGAAACCAGAAACCCAAAAGGTCAAGCAACAGAAGAATGAAGTTGAAACAGTCTGATTAAGTATCTTCAGACATTAAAATTATAACAGGGACTGTTGGTCACATTGAATGCTTATTACAATGTTAAAGGAACAACGAAAAATAAAAGTTCATCTAATTATAAAGGAAAAATATGCATACGAACAAGGAAGACGGAAATTTTAAAAATCTGAAGTTAGAGTGGGATTAAAAGTGATTTTTTTTTTAGTTCCATTTTGGTTTGTAAAATTTGAGAATAGAACAAAAATAATTTTCATTTCCTGCTCAATCCCAGCTTTCAAGGCCCTCTCAAGGTTCCCAAACCTGTATAGAGGACAAGCACCCCATATAATTCCTGATGTGCAGCTAATTCTAGAAATGTTGATAAACTGGCCTCACACAATTTTCCCCTTGTAATCTTTAGTCACCCATCTTCTCCAAACTGGTTTATTTACTACCCCAAACAAAGCTTTCTTCATATAAATGAATTCTTGATCACAACTTTCCATCCACTAAGAAAGTCTAAGATTGTCCCTTCTTCTAATTTTACAAATTATATCTCACTAACCTTGAAAATCCTTCAATGATCACTAAGTAAATTTCTTCTTGTTCTGCATTATAAAACAATGTGGCTTGGGGCGCCTGGGTGGCTCAGTCAGTTAAGCGTCTGACTCATATTTTGGTTCAGGTCATGATCTCAGGGTTGTGAGATAGAGCCCTATATCCGGCTCTGTGCTGGGCATGGAGCTTGCTTGCCTGCTTAAGATTCTCTCTCTTCCTCTGCCTCTAATCCTTCCTCAAAAAGAACCCAAACAAATAAGAAAAAAAACCAAAACTACAATTTGGCTTTTAAAAAACAATTAGATCTGATTGTATACTGAACTTCGACAAATCTATTATTCTCGTAAGCCATGATTTAAATCTTTAAAAACCTACCTAAATTGAATCTTTTGAAATAACTATATTAACTTTCCGTGTTTAATTATGTTTTCTGTTTAACAATAAGCTCCTTGAACATAGATCCTTGCCATGTAGAAACACCACCAGATACCTAGATCAGCTTGAATCCAAATCCTACAATACGTCACTCTAGTTTGAATTATATGTGGAAAAACCCCAGGCATCTATGCCTCCAGGTGGCCATAAAAATCAGCAGTGACACCTAATAGGGCAAAAAGACTATACAGGGATTGCAAAGATTGCTTTGTTAACAAATAAGCAAATTATGTAACTTTCCAAAAAATAACGAAACCATTAGGAGAGCAGGTACATTCAACACAGCAATCTGTTCTATTTCTCAACATAGACATTTACAGAAACTGTACGGCGGAACAAATTTGATCATTTTTCAAGATACAGGTATACGTGACATACATACATAAAATAGCAACAGCCGATCTTAATTACTAAATAAAAGGTAAAGTAAAACTACATACCAGAAATACAATTTTCAATAGCAGATCCAGGTCTTCTAAAACTGGAACATATTCCTTCATTTTCCCACAAAATGAGGTTTATTCTAAAAGACAAAGACTTCCTTTAGTTTTGAGTATGAGTTTGAGTTTGAATCCTCAGAACATAGACTATTTTATAATCTCCTTAAAAAACAAAGAAACAAATACTTCCGTTCTAAACACTTTTACTGATGAGATCCCTGTATGTCAACTATTTTAACATGGGCTCAAAAAAAATCAGGAAAATGTTCAATGTTCCGTGATTAAAAATCCAGAAATGGGAACCACATGAATGGATAAACTAATCCATAGGAATGTTCTAATTTTGAGATTTCAGTGTAAAATACTACCTTAAGAAGCTAATTACATAGCTTCATTTGAAGCCCTGACCAAATAAAGCATTCTGCTTTCAAAATAGCTTTTCATCATTGACACACCATTAAAAATTTTGATGATTTTGATTTTGTAGGGAACATTATTCTATTAGTTTGGGCTCATTGAAATAGGTTACGAAAAACAAATCTATCATAATGAATTTTCTCTCATTAATACCTAAAAGATGGTCTAGTGACTGTTAATATTCATCTATAGTCACCTTCCATTAATATATCTAAAATCCTCAAGAATTCTCAATGGGCTCTCTAAATCTGTATTACATTAACAATTACAAATCAATATTAAAACAAGTATTTGGATCATTATAAGAATTTTGAAGGCTAAGATAGCACCATCTGTGGAACATTACAAGTTCTTAGAAAAGTATTACGGTTAAAGAAAACATTAAGTTGGTTTATTTCACATATTTTACAAGAGTGCATACAGGTTCATAACAAACACTGACAAAGCACCTATCATGTAATCAGGTAGGGAAACATAACAGTGATAAAAATTTCAGTTGCTGCCCTCTGGGAGTGGAGTCTCAAATAAAGAGCCTAGCAACTGCAAAACAAACGTGATGAGAGACAATATAAAGGGTACTATGAGGGTACAAAAGCACCATGAGAATGCACATAAAGATGGAAAACTTTAAGGAAAGCTACGAGGAAACATAAAATAAACTCACTAACTATATCATAAAAACAGTGTTTGTTTTTAGTATCCTCTAAATGTCACTTCTGTGTAGCAAAATATTCCACTATACAAATACCTAACTAGAGTCAAAAATATATTAAATTTAAGAAATCACTTGTAAGGTCCAATAAAAATTCTCAGAATTATTTTACTCTATGTGTGACTTAAAAATTATAATTCTACTTGAATAAAGAGACCCAGGAGAGAAAACTAAAAAATAAAGAAAAAAAAAAAAAATAGGGGGGAAAAGGAAAAAGGACAGCAAAAAATATAAGTGCAGTAAGAACAACGCTTTCTGATGGACAATTGTACAAAGACTAAAGCCTTAAATGTATAATCCTTTTGGCCTTTTATTTCCATTTCTAGGACTTTATTCCAAATAATCAGGAATGTACAGAATGCCTAGGTATTTTAGCCACAGACGACAGTTCTCAGGCAAAATCTCTTGTAAAACACGCACAAGGATACCAAACATTACATTGCTATTATAGAAAAATTAAGGTATCAGATTATATAAAGTATGGTACATCTATCCTATAGAGCACTATGCAACCATGAAAAATGCTTTATGGACAAAATGTTTCCCATGTTCCAAGTATTTTCCATAAAGAAGAAAACATGAGTGACAAAATGAGCACAGCTAGAATGACCTTTATTTTATAAAGCAAAGCTGATGAAAATGAGAAACCCCTCTGCATTATATGTAACTACAGTATAAACTGTAATTACCTTTTGGTGGAAGGAATACAAGAGATTTTTGTTTTCTTCTTTTGGCTTTTTAGTAATTTCCCAGTGCTCACTGACATGCATTATTTGGATCAGATAGTACTTTTAAGTTGGGTAGTGGAATTATAGGTGATTACCCCCTGGACAGTTCAGCAGTATTGTATTGTTTTACTATTTTACTAAGAAAAAATAAATCACTTCTCTTTTAAACTTTTAATGACCTATCTTTTCTACACACTAAAATTTTTCAGTAAGGAAAAAAGAAATCCTGAAAATGTTCATATTATTCTGTGATAAAAATATTAAATATTTAAAAATTTAGAAATGGGAACTACCTGAATGGATAAATTCGTAAGTATGTGCTAAATTTGAGATTTCATTCTACAAGATCACATCAGGAAGCTAATTATACAGATTCATTTGAACCCCTGACCAAACCAAGCTTCTTTCAATGACTGTTCTTCCATTTTCGCTATTTATGGCTCTACTGGTACACAGCACTGGTCCATAAAAACTTTTCCAGTCTACCCAATTCTAAAGATTTTTACAGAAATTATAACTCACCTCAGTGATACTTAGGATATGTCACTGAAAGTCTTGTTTTCTTCAGACCAACTGCCAAAAAAACCCCAAGAAGTTATTAAATCACACAATCGTTTCTAGTCTGGATACCCATCAATACAGCAATAGGGTTCAAAAGAGAGGCATTAGGAGCATAATTTTAAGCAGCTATCCAGACCAGTGTGCCTAGGTCACTCAAAAATACCTACAGTCCACTTTCTTAAGTAATTTTGAAAAAAATCACTGCTATGAATGAAAATTTTAGGTAGTTATTCTTTTTGAGTAAATTTAATCAACGTGGATTTTCGACGATATTTCACATTTTTTTATTTCATTCTTTAAAACAACTTGCCAATTCAAACTCCATTCCCACCATTTCAAATGTGTTTTTTAAAACAGAACACAAAGATTCTGCTAAAGGTACAAAATCAATGGCTGCCCCGAGCAAAGCTCCTATCGGGGAGGTCCTCTTATTTAAGGTGTTTTCAGTCCCTACAAAACCACTACTATTTCCTTTCAGAGTAGCATCAGCCCCGTGCCGCCTATCTAAGGTTAGAGCAGCAGAGTCTGGGCTAGCCAGCGAACTCCCCACCCTGCAGCTTTCTGCAGGTTCCTCAACGCTTAATCGTGTTGAGGAGCACGCGGAAATCTCTCTCCCCACGCAGATGGGTCTAAGCACCTTGCCTTTCCCCGCGTTAATTAAGGAGGCGCCCACAGCGGGTGGCACTTGGCTGGACGATATGACAAGTTCCCGAAACGCACTTCCAAAGGGAGGAAGAACTGATCGGAGAGGAGACTCCAGAAAATCTCTGGAGAGGCATGCAAAGGACCCGCCCGGAGAAAGAGACCTGCACATCTCCGCCCCTTTCTCTCTCGCGGCGGGAGAGGAAGCCTCGCCCCTTTCATCCCGCCCCCCCCCACTCCCCACCCCGCCGCAGGGAGACCTTACTTTGCCATGGCCGCCGCGCGGCCCGTCCACTTCCGGTGCCGGTGCCGCTAAAGCTGCGCCATCCCCCAGTCACTCGGACAACCACAGCTTCCAACCGACCTTTTTGACAAGTCCGCGACTCCTCCGACCTTCACTAGGTGCTGTCCTGGAGTGAACGGCGGATAGGTGCCGCACTAAAATGAATCTATGGGATGAAGCCTCGGCTCTCCTCTCGCCAGAAACATAAAAATGCGATAGAGCTGCGACCACCACCGCTCAGACAAAATGGCGCCGAGAAGCCGGTTTAGCGCAGGCGCCTTGGAAAGACCCTGCCCCGCCCCCGTGCAAATCCTGGCTGCAGCTCCGGGTTCGGTTTCCATGGGACACTTCGCCGCCAATCCTCGTGCCGAACTGCTCTTCCTGACCCCTCAATTTACCAATCAGTGTTCAGTCAAGCACATCCGGAGTCGCCTCAACCAATCATTTTTCAGGACCTGATTACTCAATACCCGATTCTCCAGTAACGTTAGCCTTCGGAGACAGCCAATCATAAGTGGAAGATGTCCTACCTGCTGTTTTTCGCACCAATCCGTGAAGTTTCATCGCTACATCCAATGAGGACGGCAGGTAGCGAGCTCCAATCCGAAGCTCCTCGGCGTCATGAGCAGCCAATAGGAGTTCGTGTAGAAGCGAGTCTGCTCAACAGCTTGTTATTTGGTGGATTGTGGCAGTAAATCGGGCGAGTGGGGAACCGGGCGCAGGAACTGCCGCCGCGGCCGGGAGTGGTGCTGCCCGGACGGGGGCCCACGGGGGTCAGTGGGGCGGAGGACTCGGAGGCTGACAGCGCGCACTTCACCCGCAGTTGGTAGGTGGGGAGAAGGGAAGTGGGGGATACTGAGTGGACGAAGCGGCAGTAGCAGCTCGTGCTGCTGCCCGGGGTCCCGGTGCAGTTGGAAGCTTCGGAGGTGGGGAGGGGGTGCTGGGCAAGCGGTGCGGCGAGCGCAGGCAAAGGGGCAAGTCGTGGAGCAGCGGCAGCAACTGCAGGAACCGCCGCCGCAGCCGCCTCCTCGGCGGCTTCCCCGGGAAAATGGCTGTGGTGCTGGCCGCGCCGCTAAGTTTGCTTCCGCGCGGTGAGGAGCGGGCTGCTTGGGGGAGCCGGTCCCCAACTCCGCGGCGCGTCCTTCCCTGTGGAGTCCGTGGCAGGACCCGAGGGTCCGGGGGCAGGTACCTCTCTGGGCTGTACAAAAAGTTGAGGCGGGCGCGGGGAGGAGGCGGCGGCTGCCGCTGTGCGGCTCCCCTCCCCTCCCACACCCTCTCCGGGCCACCTCCCCTCCTCCTCTCCGCCCCCCCCAGCCCCCTCCCTCGCGCGGGTCTCCCCTCACTCTCGCGCCTCCCGGCTGAAGGCCGCGGCCCCTGCCCCATCGGTGAAGAAGCGCTTCTCCTTTCTGACATGGTGCAGAGCGGAGGAAGGAGAGCAATGGCGCCGTGACACTCCGCTGCCGCCACCGCGGGCCCGGGGCGGGCCGAGGGGGCCGAGCGGCGGAGGCGGGGCGCGGGCCGAAGTCGGGGTATCTGGGGGGCGGCTGAGCGAAAGCTCGGCGACCCCGCCTGCGGGGGACCTGGGGAAGCCCAAACGGCGCCGTGCCCTTTTCCAGAGCGCTCGGTCCTGGGGCTCCCGAGTTGAGCATTTCGGGTCAAAGTGGCGAGCAAGGCGGGGGCGCGGTGGGCCGCTGGCGAACTCCGGGGAGGAACGGGCTGCCCTTTGGCGCCCGAGGGGTTCTCGCTGCTTCCGCAGCTCCTGCGTCCTGGCTGCCCTCCGGGGGATCTTATCCCTTCGCTGGTGAGGGTTTAGCCTCTCCCCTCTGGCGTTTGTTTACTTTCTTTCCTTGGGTCGCTCCCCTCTGTTGACTGATTCTGTGCCTGTCTTTCCCCTCCCCATGGTTCTAGCGACGGAGAAGATAGCTCGTTGAGCTGGAACCCCACAGATCACCAATAAAAATGAAGGTAAGTGGAGTCAGCGCTGCTCTGAACCTCGTGCCCTGGACACTGCTTGTCGTGAGGCTGGTGCTGTGGAATGTCATATTTTTTTTCTACTCAAAATTGATTCCTCTACTAAGCAGCGCTTTCTGAAAATGAGGACGTGTTGAAACGGTGAGAAATGATCATTGTGTCTAATGCAGTCAGTCCGGCCCCTCTCTGAAGCAGTTAGCACTTTGGAAAGGCTGGTGCAGCCTTTCCATTGTTGTCCTTTAGGCTAGTATTTTTAACACTTCCTGTGTTGGCAGCAACCTTTGCAGAAGTAAAGCTTTTGTCCTGTTTTGGTTCTTTGGGGGATTTTTTGAAATTTTTTTTCTTCCTCAGTGCCGGTATGATTTTCTAAGGAAGGACTATGTGCATTGTGTAAGGGAGAGATCATTTCTTTTGCGAAAAATTCTGTAGCTAAAATATTTGAAGGTGAACTGATACTAATGTTTTGTTTTAGTTGTCATTACAGTAAATATTTTAAAACCTACATATAACCTAAAAAGATATATTCTTCTGAAGATAGCTAATAGTGCACACATCGTATGTGATACTTAAAGGGAAAGGAAGTTATAGCATTGTGTACTGCAGTGGTATTGAATATTTCAAGTCAGATATGTATCTTCAATTTGCATTATTGTAAATGCACTAACTTTAAAAGGTACTTGATTCCTTACTCATTTACTGTTTGGGTGTATTAAACTCTGAAATATAGCATTTCCCCAAACTTTCTCTTTCTTTCTCCTGGAAATGACACATTGCCTTCTTTAATGTTACTTGGGACAACTTACTGGAAAAGGAAAAATCATTTTCTACTTAAAAGTGTTATTTCTGAAGTGTACACTGTTACCTTTGCACTTAGCAATATTGAATCAAGCCTATATGAATACATTTAACTTTAGAAAAGAAGTAGGTAAAATGACAGAATAACAATCATTCTGTTACTTCAAGGTTAAAATGAATGGTAGAATGAAATTTCCCACATCTTTCAATGTATCATTCTGATTATGGCCATTTGTTAAAAGTAGATGTTTTTTAGTAAAGCTTATTTTTTTAATATACCAGGAAGATTAGTGTGATAAACTAGGTACAGCACCAAGTTTTGAGCCATTTGAGCCAGAGTTCGTATCTCTGCATTTATCAGCTGAATTTAGACTTAGATTTTTTTTTTTCTTTTTATTTATTTATTTGAGAGAGAGAATGAGATAGAGCATGAGAGGGAGGAGGGTCAGAGGGAGAAGCAGACTCCCCGCTGAGCAGGGAGCCCGACGCGGGACTCGATCCCGGGACTCCAGGATCATGACCCGAGCCGAAGGCAGTCGCTCAACCAACTGAGCCACCCAGGCGTCCCTAGACTTAGATTTTTTAATTTTTTATTCTTTCTTATTAAAGATTTTATTTATTTATCTGACAGAGAGCACAAGCAGGGGGAGCGGCAGGCTCTCCATTGAGTAGGGAGCCTGATGTGGGGCTCGATTCCTGGACCCTGGGATCATGACCTCAGCTGAAGGCAGCCGCTTAACCAACTGAGCCACCCAGGCGCCCTAAGACTTAGATTTTTTTTAAATGTAGCTTTTAGCCATTGGTTCCCCCAAATAATACTTTCCTTATGGAAAGCTTCAATGATTGGCTTCATTTCTTATCTATGCAGTTATTCTGTATCCAAAAAGATATTGCTTTAATGTAGCTATATTAAACATTTAACTATGTATTATTAGCATTAATCTTAATAGCAATATTTCTTCTAATTTGAAGACAAAATTTTCAGACCATAATTAAATAACTTAAAGTCTTATGAGACACTTACTATGAATATACCTTTTCTGATTTTGGAGGTTTTGTTTTTTTTTTTTGTTTTTTTTTTTTGTAATTTATTATTATTTTTAAAGTAAGCTCTATGCCCACCATGGGGCTTGAACTCACCACCCAGAAATCAAGAGTCGCATGTTCTACCGACTGAGCCAGCCAGGTGCCCCTGTTTTGTTTTGTTTTTAAATGTGTTCATTTCTTAAATAAATTATAGAATTGTTGAAACATTTTGTATCTGGAGGAAAAAACATTATCATATGTCCTTACTGATACTTCTCAGTTAAAACTTAAAATGTTTTCTGTTGTCAGGATATAGTTTATGTAGTAAAGGAATGTAATTGCTTGCTTTAGGGGTATTTTCCAAATTATTAATGACATTAGTAAAAAATAATATTAATGTTCTTACTACTTTAAATACAGAAACTTTTAATGAGGCTTGAGGTTGGAGAATAGTAGTGACATTCGCATTTTATGTTTTTTCATCAGGCGGCGGATGAGCCTGCCTATCTGACAGTGGGAACTGATGTCAGTGCCAAGTACCGAGGTGCCTTCTGTGAGGCAAAAATTAAGACTGTGAAAAGGCTGGTAAAAGTAAAGGTAATTTTTTTTTTTTAATGCAACCTGGATTGAAGAGAATTGGGGAGGGGAACACTGCAAATCAACATTTTATTGAATCATTATTATGTGAAAGCACTGTTTTGTACAAAACTGTTGGAAAAGCACATTAAGAATTAAGAAATAAAGAACTCAAAATGAGAAGTTATTCCAAATGCTTCTCTGAAAACACCATGTTTATGAGACTTCCTTTTATTTGGCTCTCTGCTGTTGTGGCATGCTTACTTAGGCTATGATCTATTTTCTTCCCTTTCATAATGTTCAGGTAGAGATGATTTCAAGTGATTATTAAAAATAATATAGTGGAAATTGTTTTTAAGACCGTGTTAAAAAATGATTTAAGAATTTTATTTATTTATTTAAAGATTTTATTTATTTGACAGAAAGAGACACAGCGAGAGAGGGAACACAAGCAGGGGGAGTGGGAGAGGGAGAAGCAGGCTTCCCGCGGAGGAGGGAGCCCGATGCAGGGCTTGCTCCCATGACCCTGAGATCATGACCTGAACTGAAGGCAGACGCTTACCGACTGAGCCACCTAGGCACCCAAGAATTTTATTTTTAAGATGCTTTTATGACCAGAAAAAAGGTCACCACATTATTCCTGTACAATATTTGGAAATACAGAAAAGTACCAAAGGATTAATACCCATAGCTTACCTCTCAGAAACTACTATTAACATTTTTGTGTTTCCGTCCAGTAGTTTTCCTATATAAATATTTTTAGTAATCTTACTAAAATTACAAGTGTAATCCGTATTTTATTATAAACATCTTTAACATTACAGAGCTGTATAATAAAGTTCATGAATGTCCTCTTTGTGATACCACTCCAGAAAGATTCGATATGGTCTGTCAGATACTATGCAGTGCCTACCATAACAG